CCCCAAAACCCCAAAACCCCAAAACCCCAAAACCCCTCCTCAAATGAATCATATTGAAATTATATTATGTGACGAAACAAAATGGAAAAACAGTCCATTTACTTCTCATGGAGTTTTCCAATTAAATTTAAATAAGAAGGGAGAAGCTTCACATGAGCTTCATCGTTAGGATAGATCTCACCATCAATGTTGAAATAAGAGTTCACGATTGGACTAAGCTTAAGCTCTGAAACTTCAAACTCCTCAAACATTTTGTATTCTAGATGTTTAGCAGAAGAAAATTTGCTAAGAAATTTTAGCATTTTCACTTTTCCGCATCTTTTCAAACATCCTAACCTCATCGTACCATCATTTATCCTGATTGGAGGCATGAAAATTTCTTTCTTATTAATTGAGCTCCTTCATTCATGAGTTGTGACTCAGAAGAAAGTGAATTCATCATTTTCATAAGTTTTCCAGCCATCTTTGTCATTTTTAGATGTCCGATCTGATTTAGCATCAGAATTCTTAGAAGTTTTATCCGTGGAGTCTCAGACTTTACTGCCTTCTTCAAAGTAATAGCTTTGGCTGTCCAGGTCTTTTTTCGTATTCTTAAACTCGATTTTTCACTTATAGTTCTTAAGGCTACAAGAGCATAATAAAGTTTTAGCCCCTCAAACTGCATATCTTGCTGATTTTAAACACCTTCTCCATTTCTCTGCTTTATGTACGATGTCGCCTGTGATACCCCAAAGCATGGAGGTGGCATAGATAGATTCCTCTTGCTCTTTAAATTTCACTTTGAGTATATCTGCTTTAACTGTGACCCCTCTGATGATATTAATGCAGGCTTGGTAGACATCTTTACCACCAAGATCTCAACAAATAGCGTTTGCAGATCCACATGGAAGTAGTCCAATTGGGATTTTGAGTAGCTCCTTGGATTTAGGACTCTTTCCTAATGCGTTAACTAGCTGACTAAACAATCCATCTCCTCCTATACAGATGATATCTGTGTAAGGGAACGAATCCTTTTCGTATAGATTCACCCACTCTTCAACATAAGTTGAAGAATCAGTCATGAAGTTGTCATAAGTAATCCCAGATATGTTCAAAATAGGGGAAAGAATCTCTCTGAAGTACTTCCTAGCTAGTCTTTTCCCAGAGACTGGGTTAACAAGGACGGCTATTTTCCTTCCTTTGACATTATTAACGCTCTTAAACAGTTCCTCAGTCTCTTCAAATTCTTCTCTATCTTCAAAATAGAGACACTCCTGTTTAAAATCTGAGTGAATAAAAATTAATTTCATCTAGAACAATGAGTTAAGTGGTGTTCAGTTAAGCAATATGGCAAATGTAAAGTGTAACTGAACCTACCTCTTCTTTCTCTGGTGTGTATTCTGTACTCTCAGCTAATTGTTGGGACTCTGTGTGCACTTTGTACTTATTATACAAGCTTTCTTTTGTTCTCTTGATCTATATGGCAATCAGTTCCGCTACTTCAATTGGTGGGGGCTAAGAAATCGCACCATTTATCCTTGAATTCCTTCATAATTAAAACTAGATAACTTCTCGAGGGATTAAACAGAAATTCCGGATATTAAAGAAATCGTCACTCTAAGAATTAAAGTGTAATAAAATTATTCATGAGTTATAATAATGAGTCACTATATATTTCAGAACTTCGAATGAAATCTTATCCTCAAGCATTGTAAATCGCGAAGACAGTCATTATGAAAGTGGTAAAACCTCTTCTTAACATCTAGAACCTCTACAGAGTTCATTGAAGAAGTGCGATAATTTTCACAAAATTTAAGATTCAGACTAGATTTTGTTAAAAATTAGGTTCTTTCATCCCTTCATGACGTCAGGGAAACGTAAAGGAAAACTATTTCTATTTTTAATGCTGGAGCAGAATTTTATACAAAATTGGCTTGGGAACTTACACAAATGAAGTAGTCAAATTTAATGACAAAGTCACAGGTGATCTTTCCATCCTTTGGAGCTTGCTTATAATCATCGTGTGGCATCACGAAGATTTCTTTGAAGTTCGTAAGATTAACTGAGTCCTCGCTCTTGCTTTTTGTTGACAAGAAGAGGTCATAGAGGCTAGCCCCTTCTTCATTGCTTCTTTTTACTGTAGCAATTCTGAAAGATTCAAGCTCTTCTTTAGAGTAACTGACTGCAGTCTTGTTTCCCATGATTGTTCTGAATGTGTTATAATTTTAACCCTGAGTTCCTTAAGTGGGGTTTTGGGGTTTTGGGGTTTTGGGGTTTTGGGGTTTTGGGG